TGTATGTAAACGGTTGTTTGTTGCACACTGTATTATGACTGGATATGGCCTGCACCTCTGAATATTGAAGCAACTGTGCAGGCACATGGTACAACTCTTTTGTCTTGAATTCACAAAATTACAGCTTTGTGACTTATTCTGCAGCCCTCCTTCTTATCTACGAACAAAAAAAATTAATGGAAGTGTTGGTTGGTGCTCCTGGCCCCAAACAAGTTATGCAGCCGCTCCCCCCACTGATCCCATCAAAAGTGGTGCCTTAGGCACCGACTCCATGGGTGCTCCACGGCTGGAGCACCCATGGGGAAAATTTGGTGGGTGCAGAGCATCCACCGGCAGCTCCCCGCCAGGCCCCAGCTCACTTCTGCTCCGCCTCCACCCCTGAACGCGCCGCCCCGCTCTGCTTCTCTGCCCCCACCGCCCCGCCCCAGCTTCCTGCGAATCAGCTGTTCGTGCGGGAAGCCTGGGAGGGCTGAGAAGCAAGTGGCAGCTTCACACTCAGGCCCAGAGAGGCGGAGGTGAGCTGGGCGGGGAGCGGTTCCCCTGCTTGCCCCTGCCCCTCCCCCCCCCCGGGTTACCTGCTGCAGCACGGGCAGCCCTCCTCTCACCCCCCCCCACCCCAGTTCACCTCCACCTCCTTGGGCTTGAGCGCAAAGTCGCCACTTCTCAGCCCTCCCAGGCTTCCCACGCAAAACAGCTGATTCGCTGGAAGTGCGGGGGGACAGAGAAGCAGAGCGGGACAGAGCGTAACTCAGGGGCGGAGGCAGAGCGGAGAGGAGCTGCACCCACCAAATTTTCCCCCGTGGGTGCTCCAGCCCTGGAGCACCCACGGAGTCAGCGCCTAAGGCATCACTTTGGGCCGGTTGTTAAATTTACAAGCTCTTTTAGAACTGGTTGTCTCGCACGAACTGTCTCCAGCTCACCACTGATGTACTGTACTTTATGGGCGATATAAGGGATTTTCAAGGGTAATTTTGACTATACACAATTTTCACCTTACGCGCTACTTTAGAACCTAACCCCGTGTAAGATGCAACTCCACTGTATTTGTATAAATGTATCACTCTTGTATCTGAAACTAGAAATATGAAATACAACTCTGAGGTCCTACTGTAGTTATGCAAAGTGTGGGCTATTAATGGTGGTTTGGAATCTTAATGGCTCCCATTAACCAGGACAATTACCTGTAGATGGCAGTTTTACTTGTAAATCTTCCCATATACCTGTGGGCTGGCAAGTGGGTAATGAAGTCTTACAATGACATGTGATCATGTCACCTGAACTGGAATCCATCTTTAACCTGGCACTTTTCCACTGAGAAGAGGGTTGGGAACCCAGAGGGACAAAGGATTCCCAACTTATGCAAAAGATATATAAGTGGGTGGAACAGAACAAAGGGGGCGGCCATCATGAGAAATCCACTAGCTGAGCTGGAACAAGGGCTGTACCAGGGGAAAGGATTGTGCCCAGAATAGGAAGGCATCCAGTCTGTGAAATAAACTTATTGAAACATCACTGAGGGTGAGATTTTATCTGTATTCAGTTTCTTACTGTATTAGACATAGACTTGCGTGTTTTATTTTATTTTGCTTGGTAATTCACTTTGTTCTGTCTGTTACTACTTGGAACCACTTAAATCCTACTTTCTGTATTTAATAAAATCACTTTTTACTTATTAATTAACCCAGAGTATGTATTAATACCTGGCGTGGGAGGGGGAGGGGGCAAACAGCTGTGCATATCTCTCTATCAGTGTTATACAGGACAACAATTTATGAGTTTACCCTGTATAAGCTGTAAAACGGATTTATTTGGGGTTTGGACCCCACTGGGAGTTGGGCATCTGAGTGTTAAAGATAGGAACACTTCTTAACCTGCTTTCAGTTAAGTCTGCCGCTTTGGGGCACGTGGTTCAGACCCTGGGTCTGTGTTGGAGCAGACTGGCGTGTCTGGCTCAGCAAGACAGGGTGCTGGAGTCCCAAGCTGGCAGGAAAAGCAGGGGCAGAAGTAGTCTTGGCACATCAGTTGGCAACCCCAAGGAGGTTTCTGTGATCCAACCCACCACATCCAACCCATCACAGCCGGCTGCCCCCAACTTCCTGCCAGGAGCTTGGCTGTCCCTTTGGGCTCTCAGCTCCCTGCTCCCCAACCCCACCCAGGTACTCTGCTCCCCACCAGGAGCATGGCATCTGCCCGGGCTCTTGGCTCCCTGCTAGCTCAGCTGGACTCAGAGCGGGGATCCCGGTGGGTGCAGCCTGACTTGGGAGCAGGGAGCCCAGGTAGCTGCCTGGCTGGGAGCAAGGAGCCCAGGGTGCCGCCGGGCACTAGCTGAAGCCGCCCCCCCCCCCCCACCTACCCTGGCTCTGGAGCCATGAAATTGACAAGAATTACAGCCAACGGCAGATGTAAGTAACCCACAGTATCTACACTGACACTACATCGCCCTAATTCAGGGGTCTCAAACTCCCGGCCTGCAAACCTCCCCAATATGGCTCATGGGGCTCCAGCAGTTTTGGGGCTGGGTCTCTCCCTTGGCCTCACCTGCCGCCCCCGGGTACTCCCCCCACCCAGGCAATTTACAATGTCCCAGGGTCCTGGCAGCGCAGTGGAGCTGAGCAGTGTCTGCCAGCTCGCTCCACATGTCTGCCAGCCCCTCCCTGCGGCCCCAGGGCGGGACAGGGCTGTGCTTCCACGCGCTGCCCCCACCCCGAGCGCCCCTGCGGCCAATGGGAAGCTTCAGGGGTGGTGCCTAGGGGCAGCAGCATGCAGAGGCCCCCCAGCCCACCCCACCTTGTAGCCCCAGGTAAGCCGCGCACCCCCAAGCCCCCCCGGAGCCTGCATCCCCTCCATACACCCCCCAGCCCACAAACTCCCTCCCAGAGCCTGCACCCCCACCCCTTTTCCCACATATCCCCTCCTCCCCCCAAATTCTCTCCCAGAGCCTGCACTACCTCCCCTTCCCACACACCCCCTCCCGCCCCCAAATTCCATCCCAGAGCCTGCCCCTCCCCCTCCTCCCTCCCAGTCCCTGCAACCCCACCCCTACCCCTGCCCCAGCCCAGAGCCTGCACCCAGCACCCAAACTCCCTCCCAGAGCCTGCACCCCAATCCCCTATCCCAGAACTCCTCCCCCACCCAAACTCCCTTCCAGAGCCTTAGGCAGGTGGGGGGCCAAGTTTGGGGGGGTAGGTTCTGGAGGCATGATTGACATTATTGGCCCACTGGGAGGATTTGAGGACTGGCACTGTCCCTGTGGAGGGATAGCTCAGTGGTTTGAGCATTGGCCTGCTAAACCCAGGGTTGTGAGTTCAATCCTTCAGGGGCCATTTAGGGATCTGGGGCAAAAATTGGGGATCTGTCCTGCTTTGAGTAGGACTAGATGACCTCCTGAGGTCCCTTCCAACCCTGATATTCTATGATTCTAAGGTAAATTGAGTTTGAGACCCCTGCCCTAACTACACCAACATAAGCCCTATGCCTCTCGTGGTTTAGTAGGGCACTTATATTGGCAGGAGCAAGGCCATAGTACATACGCTCACATAATTAGCTTAATGTGAGCTGTAGTGTAGACCAACCCTAAATCTTCAAGTTTCTGCTTCCTAGGCAATATGCAGATTCACACATTAAGTAGTTTTCTGCTTGTGAATGCTATTTAACATTATTCCTAATGAAACTGTAACAGAAACCACTGTTTGCATGAACATTTTATACTATTTGCAAGGTACTTTCTCTGAAAATGAACAAATTAATTATTAACTTATTTTCCTACACCATTCTTCAAATACACTACAAAAAGATGTGTATTTTTGGCTCAACTCAAGTTTTCACTCTTTGTGTCATTCTTGAACCATGAAGAGGCAGAGACTTCAAACAGACACAATGAACAAAGACGTCGCATTCCTTTAGAAAGGTGTGCCAGAAACCTGAGGTATTTTAACTATCAAAAGTTGAGAATGCAACACATTTACTCCAATTGTTCTGTGGTATATTGCAGTATTAGGAATAACAATATAATGACTTTTTAAACTTCAGTTCTTTCACTGTCATTGAATCTTACAGTATGTCTGACAAAAGTTATTTTGGGACTTATTGTGAAAAAGGTCAAACTGATCAGATGTATGACAAATGTAAACACTAAACAGTGTACATCATAAGAGATCATCTGAAAATCACCATTCACCACCTTTTTACATATGCACGTTTTGTAAACTGTCTCATTTTATACGCATAACTACAAACATGAATGAACTCGTTATTTAGCATAAAGGAGTGATTCACTAAGAAATTGTTTCATGTGATCAAACAATGTTTCCTAGAAATGTGTGCATGACAGTCCAATTCTCAGCAATACCGAAATTTATCTTTCCAATAAATGATCCAAATACATGAACCATTTAGGAAAAATTTTCTATGGCTACAATTTCATTTGTTCATGAAACACTGATTTCAAAACATTTAGTGTAATCATAAGACCTCAGATAAAATCCTGATCATTAAAATAAACTTCTTGCTTAAAATGAAAACAGATTTTGAAAAATCAATCATAGATCAGGCATATATAAAGCATATGCAAATTTGATTAATATTTCATTTCCTTATTTCTCTAATTTAACACCTTTTCAGTCACCCGACCAACCACTAAAATTGCTACTAGCAAGTCAGGCACTATTGTACAGTTTTACATAAGACCATTAACAGAATGAAAACTGAAAACACGTACATACCTGTCTGACACCAGGTAGAAAGGATATCCTGGTTTAGGAACAGAGTTTGAAAATAGAGACTGACTACACATTGCCTTCATGTATTGTATCCACTTAAAGTGTTTCCATATTCCTTACCAAAAAATTAAGTACAAACATACATCTGTAGACTTGTTCAGAAGATAACTGAAGAGAAACCAAGTGCATATTCAAAGGTCTTAAAATTCTGACTGCATATCAGGCTACTTCTTCCTGAAATTCCTAAAAGCCAACACCCTCATGACATCACATGACACAAAATTACAAATGTAATCATCTCCTTAAAAAGAAAAGAGTCTCTCTCATTTCTAACCAGAAATAAAATCCTGCAGTGCATCCTTCTTGTAAAAACAGCACATGTAAGGCTGAAGAGAAAAAAAGAGAGAGACCTGCTGTCTGAAACAGCAGCCTTGGTTTGGCAGTCAGCCAGCAACCAGCAGAACTTATTGCCAATGCTGCAAATCCCTCCTATCAGCTAAAGAAGATCAAGACTGCAGGGGAAACATGATTTTAGTCCCATGACAAGAACTCCCTTGGAAATGCATATAAGATTTATGATATGACCTTGAATCTCTATTACAAAATTCTCTGAAAGAATCATTTCAACAAAACCCTACAATTTATATAGTTATTTTATCAACCATCTCAAATCAACATCACAGCGCATTATAGTAATATGACAGAATCCCTCTGTGCTAAAAAGAAACCATATCCCACTATTCTGGCAACTCAGCTAAAAGGTATTGTGTTTTTTGTTTTTGTTTTTTAAAATCATACTGACAAAATTCTTTAGGCAACTGAGCATATAAATGAAGTAATTTTGAAGAGGGTGTGTGTGTGTGTGTGTGTGTGTGTTTTCCTCTTAAAGAGGAAGGGAGAAAAACTGAGTAAAAAGCAGGAAACAAATGTGAGCAACTCAGTGTTACTAAAGCCTCTACATTCTTGTACCATAATGCTTATGTTGAATATGTTTAAACCATACCTAGTATTTATTAGTTTTACAGTGAAGAATTTGTACATGTTCTTCCAATAAGCCAAAATGGAGGATGGATGTGGGTTTTAATTTTAGCACTGTATAATTTTAAAAGGACATTAAGGTTAAAAATAAACAAATTTCCTTACATATGCTAGTAAAAATACTGAAAGTAGAATTTAAAACATCAACATTAAGATTTACTATTTCTGATTTCTTTTTATTTCTCATCTTGGAAATAAAAAAGGGAATCAACTTCATTTTTGTTTACTTTAAATTTCTGGTCAGTTTTCATTCACTATGAAAATGGTGCAAAGTTTGGTTTGCAAACACTCAGAGTAATGTTTAAAGATGAACGTCAAAGGAAAAAAAGTGTGTGTTGTATACTAAAATACCTACATTTCAGAGCAAATTTGATCTGATAATGAAATTAACCAATTTTAAGATGTTTGGGGTTTTGTTCATATCAAAATGTAAAGTTAAAGATTTCCACATTTCACCCAACTAATCTGCTTTATGCAATGTTTTTACCCAGGATTGAAATTAGGGGGAGTGTCTGAATTTACAGAAGATAACAGCCGACAAGGGGTGAAACCGTGAAGGCGAAGGTGGGTTGTATGGCACCACAGTAAAAAATGAAAAATGTTTTGACCATTTTATTAGATTTAACTCATATTTTAAAATCATCACACAAATTGAAGTTGGTTACTCAAGCCTACTATGAAGCACTATATCTAAATACTTCTTGGTTTCTTCTTATAATTTTGCACAACTTCCTTAATGAATTTTTTGAATGCAGTGTGTTCATCTTTGGTGGTTTCTTATGTGTCTGGTATTTCCAGTTCTTCGTGATATGCTCATGATCAAGCAGAAGGCTACTTCTTTCAGAATACAAAATTCTATTCAATGAGAAAAAAGAATGCTCAACTGTACCTGCTGGGACTGGGAGTAGCAAGAGATGTATTCCTACTTCTTTCAACCCAGGAAGCATAGCACAAAGATTGGGTCAAACCACTAGTGATGATAAAGAAGAAGTTGAAGTCAAATCTTCATTTGTTCATTGTATGACATTCCACTCTGTGTTCAAATTCTCTATTCTGTCCTGATCACATGGCAGCCCCATTACTGGTAGTGCCTCACTCCACACAACCGTTGGTGTTTTATAAAACAGGCATCTGTAAAAGCTGGGCAGACGTTGAGTAGGATCCAGAATTTGCTGTTGTAGATTTATAAGAATCTAGTCTGTGTACCTTTTCAGCTGGATTAACAAACGCTTCTTGTCCTCTTCACATATGGATTCAATATAAGTGCCTTCATTAGTCAACCTCTGGACCAAAGTCTTTGCTTCTTCCAGTACATTTTCAATGGATCCAAGTGTAGCTTCTATTGCTGGACAAAGATCTACTACTGTTGTAGCAGAAGCCTGGATGGCATTGTTTAATAACCCAAGTGGCTTCGTCAGTAGACTTACAAGAGAGAGAATGGTGATAGTCTACTCTGAACTTAGTAGCAAAAATAGTTCACCAGCCTCACTACTTAGATCTGTCCCATCTCAGTAGATTCTTTCCAAAGCCAGTAGTAACAGTTGGAGTAATTTTAAGACAATAGCCAAAGACCGCTCATGAGAAAGCCAGCAGGTTTTTCCAGGTTGGACTAATTTGAACTTCAGTCCCAGTGTATCTTCTATTTTTCCCAAGACATTCAGTCCTTCTGGATTCTTACTGAAAAAAAGAGTATAACAAAGATAGCTTTTTAAATGACTTTTTAAAGATCCTGCAGCTCATACTAGTGCTAGTTGGAATAGATGGCCTCCTAAGTGTGTACAGAAGAGATTAGGGTTACACTTTTCTCTGAGCAAAACTTGTACTCTACCGTGTCTTCCAGAGAAGTTTGCAACTCCATCAAATGCAGAAACAGCCATCTGTTTGGGATTCCATTTACAAGCATTGCAATCTTCTAAGATGTGGGTTATCTCAGATGAGACCAATGTGTCTTCCATAACCTGAACATCTAGAAATGCATCCATTGGCCTACCACTGACATGAAGATAACCACAATGACTTAATACTTGATTACCATTTGCATCAGCACATTCGTCAGCCATGTACGCACATTTTTTGAATGTGGTGAGAGAGTCCTTCACTCCTTCAACTGCTGAGTCTTTCACTGTTGCACCACATGCTTTTAACCAGTCAGCTGAGTTTCTTGCAGAAAGATAGTGAGCATTTGCCGGTCTTGTTTGGAACTAGTGTCCAACTTCAGGACTTAATATTGGCCTTCAGTTTGTAATGTGTGGTATCTTTTGCTTAAATAGAAATTATGATGGGAAAGCCAAGTTTGTTCACATAAACTGTGTTTGTGTTTAGAGCATTCTCAAAAGCCTCATTAAATACTTCTAAAATTGGCTTTTACAGTGACTGGCTTCTAAGGCTTTCTACATGTCCCTGCAGTCCAGAGGCTTGGTGTTCTGAAGCCTATGCACGTAGGTTGTCAGCATTGGCTTTGCTGATCGGCCTAGCAAACCAAGCTCCTCCACTTTTGCTATATAAATCCATGATACTCCCACATCTTGAATACCGTGTGCAGTTCTGGTCACCCCATCTCAAAAAAGATATATTGGATTTGGAAAAGGTACACAGAAGAGCAACTGAAAAGATTAGTTTCAGAGTAGCAGCTGTGTTAGTCTGTATTCGTAAAAAGAAAAGGAGTACTTGTGGCACCTTAGAGACTAACCAATTTATTTGAGCATAAGCTTTCGTGAGCTACAGCTCACTTCATCGGATGCATTCAGTGGAAAATACCACTGAATGCATCCGATGAAGTGAGGTGTATGTAGGTCACGAAAACTTATGCTCAAATAAATTTGTTAGTCTCTAAGGTGCCACAAGTCCTCCTTTTCTTTTTGTGAAATGATTAGGGGTATGGAACAGCTTCCATATGAGGAGAGATTAAAAAGACTAGGACTTTTCAGTTTGGAAAAGAGACGACTAAGAGGGGATATGATACTGTAGAGATATACAAAATCTTGACTGCTGTGGAGAAAGTGAAAGTGTTATTTACTCCGTCACATAACACAATAGAAATTAATAGGCAGCAAGTTTAAAACAAACAAAAGGAAGTATTTCTTCACACAACACACAGTCAATCTTTAGAACTTTTTGCCAGAGGATGTTGTGAATGCCAAAACTGTAACAGGGTTCAAAACAGAACTAGATAACTTCATGATAATGGATAATTGGTCCATCAATGGCTATTAGCCAGGATGGGCAGGAATGTAACACCATGCTCAGAGTGTCTTTGTTTGCCAGAAGCTGGGAGTGAACGACAGCAAATGGATCACTCAATGATTGCCTGTTCTGTTCATTCCCTTTGAAGCGTGTGGCATTGGCCATTGTTGGAAGACAGAATACTGGGCAAGATGGATCATTGGTCTGAGTCAGTATGGCCATTCTTATGTAAAAAATTAATTATAATATAAAAATAAAAATGTTTAGCACAGAAACTCCCCAAGATAACAACCGCTCAAGATAGCGATGATGTGAGATAATGCAATCTTGGCCTACTAGGAAACATATATTTATAGAAGTTTCCCACTCACAAACCTAGCATTCTGAAGCAAAGTCACTAAAATATAGTCCAAACAAATATTCCTTTAATGTGCCTCTCCCATCTCCCTCCACTGCACCCCACTTATAGTAGTTGCCCTTGGTCAGTGGAGACCCAGAGTTCAGAGGTTCACAGGTGGGGGGTGGGGGGACAGAGGACACCATGCTCGTTCTTTCAGCCGCTCGCACTCGCTCCAGCTGCTCACTCTGGCCGCTGTTATTCGTCATGCAACCATTCACTCCACTGCTGCATCGCTGATGGCCCTGCGCTGTCAACTTCTGCTGCCACCTGCCACTGTGACCTCTGCAAGTTGTTTCTTGAGGTTCTACCCAGCTCTCGTGATTTCACCTCTCAGTGATGGAACCTCACTGCTAGTGCAGGCTGGGCAATCTTGTCTACAGAAACACTGTCCTGCAGCAGGACTAAGCACTTAGACCTGATTATCAGTGATTTCAGCTCTAGTGGTCACTTAAAAAAAAACAAAGGACTCTTATGGAACCTAATCAGCTCTATATTTAAACAGGGGAGAGGAGCAAGTCAAATAGTGCCTGTGACTCTTAGGCTGAGCCCACACTACCAAGCAAAACACCTGTCCCCGTTTCCCCCACTGGGATCTGGCATCAAAGCCCCCTGCTTAGCAAGGTCAGTTCAGGTGAGGGTGACCAAGTTTCTTACATTCACCACTGAAGTGACAAGCCCAGAGGTCCAGGGGCTATGAATTGCCAAGCCTAGAGATACCAGGCACAAAATACCACTGGTATTTCAGCCCTGGCACAAATTAAGCACTGAGGGTGATCCCCTCAATCATGACAGGCTAAGCACAGTTCTGATGCCCTTTACTCAAACAACAACAACATTTAATTAATCCAACACCAGAGAAAACTGATCACTTGGGCAACACATCTCTGTCTGCTGGATACCTAGGCAGAGTGGGTGTGTTCATGTAAATATAGTCTGGTCCTGAAGCCTTTCCCCTCACCCCCAGCTCATCAGTAGCTGTCAGGGGAGAGCTCATTCAGACCTTGCTTACGAATCATTATTTGAAATTATAAGGTTGGCCAACATCACCAAAATGAATGCACTGACACTGTCATAAAAATAGCTGTGTGAGGAAGCTAATCTTTCTTCATACCTTTCAAATCTATTATGCTTTTTGAGGTACATGTATTTTATCATCTATCATATATGCTTTTTAAAAGTGTGTATTAATGTTTCAATTTCAAATCAAATTTCTAATTGACTAAATTGGCAACACTGCATGTAACTAGTTGACCATTAGGGTGGGGGTTCATGGTGAAATCCAGAGGAGAGAAGAGGGGAGTGTACAGCCTCCACCCCCGAGGGGGTGCAGGGAAATCCTTGCCCTTTATGCCTTACATAGGGCTTAATTTAACTGGCAAGTTTTGCACTGCTGCAGCCAGCCACTTCAAATACACTGATGCAAACTCCGAGCATAGACACACCGCACTGGTGTAAAAAGAGACTTGTACTAGTGAAGCTTACCCTAAGTTTGAAACATTGGTGTGGTTACCCCAGAGCAAAAAAGGTCTTTACTTCTTGGAATGCTTATTATATGGGTCTGGGCTCCAACATGTTTGTGCAAATCCACCAATCCATCATTTAGCTCTTCTGTGTCCAGTTCACCATGTGTATCAGGATTATAGTTGCTCACATCAAAGGTGTAATGTTAAACACAGTTTTTGTAATTACATCTTTGAAGCCATCTGATTAAAGGTGTGTTGTGAAGAACAAGCAGCTATAATATTTTGAGGGTGTGGGTCTGAGGATACTTGATTTTTTTTCTAGTGTTCTCCCACTCTTAATTACTATAAAAAGACAAACAACAGAAATGTAATTGACTCTGGAGCTAACAGTAAGAACTGTGTTGCTTCTGCCATGTTTTTAAATTTGAATGAACCTGATCCTTAAAGGACTAGACAACTTTAAGCAACAGTTAAGACTGGGAAGACAATTTATAAGTAGCCCACAAACTTGAAACTGGAATGTATTTTTAAAAGTGGGATTCCTCCATTATAACATATCTGTTTAGTATTATGGAAGTTTTTTTAAATAGGGGTGGGGGTAGATATTGACACCATACACAAGCATATCTGCAAACCGAAAAAATAGACCAACCAACCGAGCACACTTTTCCCCATGCAAGCTTATTGTTATGTACAAATCTACTTCCTGGATCCATATTTACTTGACAAATAAAAGTTTAATTCCAAGTCTGATCGCATGTATATTTTACTTCTGTGTTTTAAACCGATAGCCAGTGCCAATCAAGATAAACTTAACAAAACACTGATACTGTTTGATGGACTATAAAATGTTCCACTCAAACTACCAAATAAGAAAACTACAGTGCTTGAAACAAATTCAGGTTAAACAAACAAAATAAGTCACCAGGTTCAGATGGTATACAATAGTTCTAAACTACCTTAAGAATGAAGTAACTGAACTGCTAGAAAAAATATGCACACACTCTTTAAAAACGGCTAATGGAGATGACCGGAGGGTAGCAAATCTTATACACCTATATTTTAAAAAGGCTTTAGGGATGATCTCAGGAATTACAGACCAGTAATGTACTTAGCAAACTAACTGTCAAAAATAGTTTAAAATAGAGTAACAATGTGCATAAGAGGGGGAAATGTGTACTACCTTACTAGGCTCTAAATTAAATGTCAGCTCAAGAAAAGGATATGGTCATCATTTAAGACAGCTCAATGAAGACCTAGGCTCAATGTGAAGCTACTGTAAAAAAGTGTAGATTAAGAGTTAAAATGGATAAAGAATGCAATGGAGAATAATAAAGAAATTATAACACCATTTTATAAATCAGGAGTTTTCCCTCATCTGAAATACTGTGTTCAGTATTGGTCACCCCCATTTCAAAAAGGATTTTGCAGAATTAGAGGAAAGTCAAGAGACCAGCAACAAGAATGAGAAGGAGGCATGGAAAACCCTAGTGAAGAGAGATTGAAAAGATCAAGATTATGTACTTTAGAGAGGAGACGTTACCAAAGTATACAGAATAATGAATGAAATTGAGAAGATTGTTTCGGAACTTCTATTCTCCTGTCTCAAAAATACAAGACTTCAGGGACATTGAATGAAACTGAAAGACAGAAAATTCAAAACTGATCAAAGGAAATACTTTCTCACACAGTGCATAATTAGACTGTGAAACCCATTTGTCAGAGGCTATATTTGTGACACTACACCCCATATTCATCTTGGGGGTATGATTATGATATGATTATGACATAATTATGGTGCGTTATGTATAAGATGGGTCATGTAAGTTGTCATTGGAAAAGTTATGATTTGCTGAAATATGATTATCCTATTTGTGTGCATGTAGCATTTTTGTATCTGAAGTTATGAATGCTGACTATGTATCTGTATTTCAAATGTGATTATACCTGGGTGACACCCACAAGGCCAAATTTTTCAAGCCTAGACAGCCGGTTGTGAAGGGCCTATGCAGGGTAATGGGGCATTAGGAAAAACAACAGGCCTTAGAAGAAGCTTATCCCCCACCCGGTGAGCCTTCCTGCAAACACTCTAGACAGCCTGTAAGTAATGGCTGCTATGACTCAGCAAGGGCATGTGACCAGATCACATGACACTTAACCCCATTTTGATTCCTGTCTTTTTCCACATACTGGATGGGAATTGTTTTTGAAACAAAAGGATTCCCACCATATGTTAAAGCTATATAAGGTGAGGTGTAACATCATCTAGGGGCATCACTCCCCACACAAGAGAACTCCTGGAAACACCTAAGGAACAAACACTGAACTGGGGGAAGTGCTTGTCCTAGGCTGAAAGGATTTCTATCCTGTGTATGGAAACCTAGTGGACTGCCTGTATCATCAGCCCGGGTGCAAAACTGCATATTCATATCCAATCTTTCTAGTATTTTACTTAGCTTGCGGTTTAGTTTGTGATTTTGTTTATTTACTAGGTAATCTGCTTTGATCAGTTTGCTATCACTTATAATCACTTAAAATCTATCTTTTGGTAGTTAATAAACTTGTTTTTTGCTTTATCTAAACCTGTGTGCCTTTGACTGATGTGTCTGGGGAAAATCTCAGCTTGGTTAACACCATGCTTGTTGTATATTCCTCCACACTGAGGGAGAGGTGAACTATTTATGAGCTTATACTGTACAGATCCCTGTGTAGTGCAAGACAGTATAATTTTGGGTTTATACTCCAGTGAGAGGTGCATGCCTGGGGAACTGGGGGTTATCTTGGCTGTGTACTCCTTATTGTTGGTTCATGCAGTGGCTGGTCGGTGCCTGCATGTAACTGCAGCTGTGTGTCCCTGCCTATGTGAATGCTGATGGGAGTGTAAGACCGGGAGCAATCTACAGCTTGTCACAACACCACAATGTGAGAGGGAGCCCAGGCTGGTGAGTCAGAGGGCTAGTAGTATCCCAGTTCCAGGTGGTATCTTAGGGGGAACCCATCACAATATTTGAAGCCCAGAACTCATCAAGATTCAAAGAGGAATTGGACATTTGTGTGGACATCAAGAATATCCAGAAGCTATCACAGAAAATATTAAAAACCAAAAAAACTTCATGGGATATAAATTCTCATGCTTCAGCGCCCAAGATTACAACAAGTAGGAGTTAGAGGAGACTCACTTGAGAAGCAGATTATTCCACATCTGCCTATTGTGGTGCTCAACTGTCCCTTCCTTGGAGACATCTCATGCTAGTTACTGTTGGAGATGGGATACTGGACTAGATGAATTAAGTGTCTGATCCAGAATGGCAATGGCAATTTCCATATTCCTGCTAAACTGATTCTCTACTTGATAAAAATAATCTTGTTTAAAAGGCATAGTATCTGATGTAGTTACAAATCAAATTCTCTTGACTTCATAAAATCCATTTTATTTGAAACCCATCCCAATCTTGGGAATAAAAAATTATATAGTTTTACTAAGTGGATCCTGTCTGTTCAAGTGATTGCCTTTATCATAAAACCCATTTAAAGAAAGTTCGCTTTCACAATTGGCAGGAATGGTATTATTAATTCCAGTCGTAGAGTATCTCAAACAAAGGCATTAATGATCCAGCCCTGAAAACCATTACCTGTGTAGGTGGTCTTTACATGCGTAAAGGTTTGCATAATCAGTCCTTAGAGTTTTAAATCCTGCTGTGACTGCTTCTTTGCAGATTTCTTAGATGATGTTCTTCTGTACCATTAAGAGGATGAAAAGCACATATGCAAATGGTAAGGACAAAAACATTTTTGCCATTGCTAAACATGGGTAAACCCATTTTCCTTGCAATCTTTATCTGCTCACTCAAGTGGAAAAATGACTAATCATGCAATACTGAGACAGAGAGTTTCATTGGTGGTTCATTACTCTACATCAGCAACTCCTACCAGGCCTGAGAAACCACTACACCTAACACATCGCTGTCATAGTATTCATCTATAAACTGTGTCTTTTAAGGTATCACATCAAATTTTGCTGAGGAACACTCTTGGCAGAGGGGAGTGATTCATGAAAAATGTGGATCCTAATTTGACTGAAAATCAGAAAGCTTGCAAAAGGACTGCAAGTGAGAAACTGTTTGCGCAGGTGTCCAGCCTGCTAAAGTTATGCTTAGTCTCTTAGAAGCATGTTACACTTTTGTTTTATTTATAACCAATTCTGTTTCCACTATCCCTACTCAGTGTCCCTTAAATCACTGTTCTTTATTAATAAATATATTCATGCTTTTATTATAAATTTATCACAGTGTTGTAATATTAACTGAATCAGCTGAACCAAACAGGCTGGTGTGTACACTGTCTCTTTGTAGACAGTGAACTTGGTAATTTCTCTAAGTGTCCAGTGCCAAAGGATGGATATTACAGGGGGATGCTCCTGAGACGTTCAGGAACTGGAGTACACAGAGTGTTAACCTACAAGGAAAAGTAAGAGCTGGCAGAGTCCTGAGAAGTTTGTCTGGAGTAGCTAACAGCCGGGGGTGACAGGGAGCTGTCTCCCAGGTTAGCACCAGCAAATCTCTTTCTCGCTGAAGCATGGGGGTTACATGATGACTTATGGTTTTGGGCACCATGAGAAAGTGTCACAAATACACACACATTTATAACAACTTTCAGCTGAGGATCTTAAAAAGGCTTGCAAACAAGTAAGCAAATATTGTATTGTCCTCATTTTACAGATGGAAACTCGGATCAGAGAGGTGAATGTCAGGCTGTGAACAGGATTTGATGACACAATGTTAATACACCTACACCTGGTCTATAGAGGAGCTTAGACCATTGACAGCACCAAAGAAGCCAAATCTTTACTGACATACCTGAAGTAACTTGACAGCTCACATCACAAGTTAATGGCAGAGCAAGCTATGACTGACAACGTGACCTCACACTGTTTTTGCTTTCAGGTAAGCATAATGTCAACAGGAAAGGAGAAACAACAGCCTCTAAATGAAGAGAGGGTATGGGAGCAAAGAAAAGGGAGAAGACATGGATGAAAACAGTACATGACTATAATACAATGGGTACAGAGGTGGATGGGAGGACTGTAAGGTTGCACCTCTGATTTCTCTCCTTTCAGTTACTGATCCATACAATGTTCGGGGGGTTTTGTTATAGGATTCTATTCTCTTACATGCAGGCAGTTAATAGGATTATTCATTCTGATGGTATATACTATTATGGTCACCACTTTGTACAAAATGTATCCTATTCTTGTTAAAGGGTGCCTTGTGAGGCATCTTGAAATGTCATAATCTGCTGAACATTGTTGCCCTGGTAAAATGTGTATCAGTATTGATTGTAAAGTTACAAGATTCTACTGTATAACATTGTTATAACATGCTCCAAGATTAAGTAAAGCAGGCCCAAACAAGTTTTTCCACAGACAAAGACTCACTGGCACTCCAGCCAGGTGTTAAAGAGCTATCACAGGCTTAAGCAGCCATTCTCCAGCAATGGAGCAGCATTCTCCAGCAACGGGAAGCTGTAAACAATACATTTCATCATAGGGATGGTTCAACCCTCACATGCACAAGAGACTACTTGTTGCCTGCACCCCATCTGGGGGTAACTCTCAAAGAGGTGCAAATGGATTAAATATATAGAGACAGTGGCCTCCACTTCACCTCTCTCTTCTTTCTCTCTGCTCATGACATCAACTCCTCTCAAAAAACTGAGCTAAGGGGGAAGGGGTCACAGGCTGAAAGGAGATCCAGCCTCTGAAATTTACCAGAGTGTATGGTGAGACAAAACCTTTTGCTTAGCATGTTAAGTTAGGTATTAGCTTGCGTTTTACCCTTTGATTTTCTTCTGTAATCAATCTGGACTTTAATGTATCACCACTTGTAATCATTTAAAATCTGTCTTTCTGTAGTTAATAAACATATCTTATTGTTTTATCTTAATCAGCGAGTTTGGATTAAAGTGTGAGGGAAACTCCATTTGTTGCCCTGTTGGAAATTCATAAGTTACTGGTCAGAGTGCTCACTTATTTGACTGGGAGTGAATCTGCATACTAAAGGCTGTGGGAGCAGACCAGGAATGGATGTTCTGAAAACAAAGCAGTGTAAAAGACACACCAGGATAGAGAATTAAGAGCAGTATGTTCAACAGTCCAGATTGTTCCCTGGGGAATGTCACATATATGTGTATGAGTCTCCAAGCATGGAAGGAGATTCAACAAGAGCCGAGTTAACAGTCTTATACTTCTTGTGGAGATGTAGTTTCAGTAATACCTTACATTTAGGAGTTCAAAGAAAACCTGCCATATTGGTTTCAACTTGATAATAATTTACATATTTACAACTGCAGCTTTTAAATGTCAATACCTTCAGAGGTCCAAATCTGCATTTTTGGCATTTAAGAACCCCCAATATTTATTTTAAGCATGTAAGCGCCCATTTCAGCATTCAAAAAGCAGGATTTGGTTGCTAAAAATATGCCCAAGTTTGAAAAGTTAGGACTACAGACTTCAGCAGAATTTGGAGAGGCCCAGAATGAATACAGGCAAAAGAATCAAACTCCATACCATTTTTATCCTATATATTTTGGTGGGCCCCAGAACAGGAGTCCCATTGTGGAGGCATTGTAAAAATATGGCATCACGGCACTGTTGCCTCTCCTCAAAGTATTTTCATTTATTCATTTTTTTAAAATCTGAAATAAATTATCTGAACTAAAAAAACATGTTTTAGTCTTTGAGTTTGGGCAACATAACACCCAACACCCTTGCAAATACAAACAAGCACAGCTTGAAATTGGACTGATCTGCTTTATGCTATATGAGGACTATTTATACAGGTCATATATATATATATATTGATTATTCTAGATTAAGGTTACAGATATCTGAACTACCAGAAAGTACCTATGTCTTTGCTTTCACACACTGCAATATTAACTAATAATGCCTTTAATATCTCAACACAACCTAAGACTACATTAAGTTTTCAAACTGTACTTTGTTTACTGTACATATATTCCTGCCCCTCTAAATGCATTTCATTATACATAATATGTACGTGATGTGGTTGTAATTTGGGAAAGCTGAAGTCTATTTTTTACCTCCCAGAAAACCTGAAGAGCAATCTTCTCAAGAGACCTGTATTCTTACATATATCTTATTACTTCTAGAAGGCAGTGTTTTGTGTTAAGGACCCTGATAAGAGCTACATCATCAGACTTGTACATGTTGAAGACAGTTATAACATTATCTCATATATAATTTATTTTAAATTATGCTGTAATGTATAGTATATCTGGATAGTTATGGAAGAGGTTTACTGTTTTAAGATCAAAATTCACTCATTCTGCTTTTAAATTTTAACATTTTAAATGTTGTATTTGGAAACCTCTTAGAACAGGAGTAATGGAAAAGATAAGGCTTACAAATAAACTCAAAGTCAATGCAGTGATAATGAGAGTGCTTTCAAAATAATCTTTCCTTATTAAGACTTTCTAAACAGAGCTGGCTGACATTCAGTTAACGTCCCTTCTACAAACAATCTGAAATATTCTTGATAAAATATTTTTAGTCTTGCCACTGTTTGACTCAGGCATACAAGAACAGGCTGAAGGTCATTTTGAGGATGAAGAAAATGAATCTCAGATAAAAGGAGAGTTAATAAATGAATCCCTAGAAAGACAAAGTATTTTAAGAACACCTATATTTAAAGTTGTGTATACGTCTTTGTTTACAGTAATCTGAACCTATTATAATTTGAACATTAAAAGCAATGGAACAAACTCATCCACAGTGTAAATCCATTGAAGTCAATAAAATTTACTCTAAGATGGACTTGGCCTGTCAGGAGTTTGTTTGTTTGTTTGTTTGTTTGGGGGTTTTTTCCTCTCTCTCTTTTCTTGTGCTTTCAAGACTATAAAACAGCACACATAGTTTTGACTAAGAGTTCCTCATCTCACTTTCTGAGGAAAATTTTTCTTTTCTTAAACAAACACTCAAGTGGCTGCATTTATGATGCTTACATTTGTTCCATGTTCTTATTCTTAGAACTTTAAATGACATAATCAAACATTCTAATTTAATAGATAAAACTGAACATGAGATAACAGTGGTTTTGCACACAAATGGAAATTGAGTTAAATCTATCTTATTCACCAAAATATCAAAAATTTCAGGACTCATCCTGAAAAGCCTTTATTATTGTTTAACCATTGCATTCTGTGCTGCTTTAAGAACTGAATTTATAATTATTTCTGGTGTATTCTTTGTCATATTTCTTTGATCTGAGAGAAAAGAATACACCAATTAATTAACATAGAATAACATAGAATATCAGGGTTGGAAGGGACCTCAGGAGGTCATCTAGTCCAACCCCCTGCTCAAAGCAGGACCAATCCCCAATTTTTGCCCCCGATCACTAAATGGCCCCCTCAGGGATTGAACTCACAACCCTGGGTTTAGCAGGCCAATACTCAAACCACTGAATTGCCCAAGTAATGCTTTGGTATCCTTTAAAATTCTATTATACTAAAATAGTTTGTGTCTTATAAGATAAGTCACCCCTTTAAATGGGCTACAAATCAATCTTGTAATTAATAAATAATTGACAACATAAAACGTGTTTTGTCACATATATTTAACTATGGGCATACTACTAAACATTTTTTTAGAATGTAAAAAGTCTGGAGCAGCAAAACCCAGAGATATTCCTGGAAACCGAAAAGTTATAATCTTTCCAAAGTACTACTGTAAGAAAAAGTGTTTCAATGATGCGGGAAATCTCTCTCCTCTGGAATAATATATTGTCTTTTTTTAAAAAAACATGACCTAAATATAGTCAGAAGCATCCTCTCAAGCATAAGGACTCTATGATTCATACTTACAGCAACTGAAAAATCTCATGTCATCTCACATGAATTAAAAAAAGTAAGCTGTATAAGATGTTTAAAAGCCAATAGTAGAAAGGAAAGGACACATGTACAAATATGGAGAATACTATGTTTGATAAATTATAAGAAATAACTAAACTAATTCCCTGGCAGCATTTATAACTTCATTGAGCTTTGTACCTGAGCTTCAGATCACTGGATGAATCCAATTATTCCATAAGGCATTTTAATTTCTTCTGTCTCCCTTTTCCCCAATTACTTTTACAAAACAATACCTAATTTAATATTTACACACTTTCACAAAAGGAAATAGCAAAAATATTAATTCTAAAAGGACTACAATCAACCGCACAGCAAACTCCACCATGACAAATCCCAAGCCTTCCCGTCTCCAAAAACTTTAACAAGCCTGGAATATAACTGATGTAAGAAGCCAGCAGCGTTAACGGTACATGCCAAAAATATCCTTCATGAGCTGTTCTAATTGCTGAAGATAAGAAAACATAAATTTCAAAACAGATATTCTCATAACAAAACAGACTTATAAAAACATAACATTAAATAAACAGCTTACATTTCAAGATATAAGTAAGAGTCCTAGTAACTCAATTAAAAGAATTGACAGAGTATTAATACAGGGCAGTATAAAATTTTTCTTGTAGTTTTGAATAGCAGAATAGGTTTCTCAGAAATCTACTAAAATACAGAATACACCAAATTTGATAGTGTGTCTCAGCCAACAACTTCCAGCTGTCCAAAGAAAAGACGAATAATGATGTGGTGACAAAATACATACCTATAATTGTTTACTTGTAACAGTATCTGCTGTTTAGAAGCAACTACTGCAACCATCAGCTTCAGTCAGTCACTGACCACTCACACTGTCAGCAAACCACAAGCACACACTAATAAGTATTTGGCAGTGAAGCACAGTCATTAAAAGGACAAAGCTCAATTTCTCTCTCTCTTTTTTTTTTTTAACTGCTCAAATTTTTTCAGTTTGGGGTTAAGGATTCAAGTCTACTTGCAGGTTAAGACAGAACTGCTGATTTCTCTGAATTTCTAATGCCTCATCCCACTATCTGGAAAAAAGCATCCACATTTCACAAGACTGTTTTTCCCCCCCTTGAATCTTGTCTACAGACAAAAATTGCACCACTTTAACTAAATTGGTTTCTAAACTGATTTAAACTGGTGCGACCCTAAATCGGTTTAAGAAGGAGCTGTAGAGATTGAGCTTGTTACCAAAATAAGTTAAATTGATATGAGCCATTACATTGACTTAAGCGTGTCCACCCAAGAAGGTGGCACCCAGGGGTGAAAGTAACAGGGTAGGAGCTGGTACGGCATACCGGTAAAAGGTAACTGCCAGTACCGGCCCCTACCGCTGACTTTTACTTTGTTTCCCCTTTTGCGCCCCGATTGGAGGCCCCACTGGGTCCCTGCCAGCAGGGCTGCCAATGGGGAGGGGGGTGCAAAAGGGGCAGCGCTTTAATGTCCCTGCCCCTTTTGCCCCCCGGCCACCGACAGTCGGGGGGTGAAGAAGTAGCTGCCCCAGGGCCGTGATTTAAAATGGCCCAGGGCTCCAGCCACCAACCGGAGCTCCGGGCCCTTTAAA